GGGATCCCATGTCCTGGCTTGAGAGGCCGATCTAGGAGGTTCAGCGTCAACAGGAGGGCCAGGGGATGTGGAAGAGACGCGGAAGCGAGGGGGCAGGAAGACGCTGGGAGCGGCGCTGGCTGAGGTCAAGAGTGCAGGGGTGTGTACACACACAGTGCCACCCAGCACGAGCGCTCGCAAACGCGCACTCTCCCTCGCAGACACCGTCCACGTGACCCCACGCTGACTGCACTACTGATTGCAAAAGCATCCAAATGCCGGAAACTCCCCTGAATGACTACTAGACAAACACACGCTACACCCTGTCAATCAAACCAAACACATGCGCTCGAGGCGACTCCCACAACCGCACGCCCGCGCCGCGACCGCTGCTCACGTGCCAGGGCTGGTTGACTCCGCCGTTGGCGCGTGCCAGGTCGCGGCTCTCGTACCGCATGAGGGCAGACGGGTCCAGCCGCCCCCTGGCCGCCCCCAGCAGCTCCTCGTACTGCATTAGGTAATCCGTGTGGCCGGGCAGCCGCTCGTCCATCTTGAACTGCGTTGCGAGGTGACGTCAGCATGAGGTGACGTCAGCGTGATGTCACGAGGGATACGGGGAAGACGGCGACGGGCTGCAGTATACGCGGTGTACAGCGCCCACTGCGGTCCTGAAAAAGCAAGACGTCCTCAAGGATGTGACCAGGTTATGATGCATCGACATACAAAAGCTGGTAGCGCCCGCCCGGCCGTGGGGGCCCCGCCGGCCGGCAAAAAGTTTTTCGCGGCAAAGTTCCCGCCCGCCTGCTGGTGGAAGAACATGGTGACGCTGTCGTAGAAGAATTTGGGCCGGAAGTGGTTGTGGTCGCCGCCGAAACGGACCAGGTTTTTGTACTCGCCACCATATGCCGCCACCAGCTTCTCTACAGAGGTTGCAAAATGTCAATTGTTTGGCAGATACCATAGGTTGGCTTCCAGCACACGCCAGGAGTTCGCGGCAGAGGGCGCCGAAAACGCCGTCTGAAAAGCGCGTGTTCGTGGGCACCATTTGAAGCCAGAGGCAGCACCGCGTATGAGGCAGCCGCAGCAGCAGCCGCAGTTGCAGCACGCGTGGGTGGCAGCCTCGAAGGGCCGCCGGTGGGCGGCGCCCCGCGACCCCCCAAAGCCGCACCCGAGTGGGAGACGTTGATGAAGGAGTCCCCTGTGGCGTGCCCAAACACCGCCGGCACGACGCTGCCGCCGACGGCGTCCAGGGGGGCAACGTCGCAGATGTCGAAGCCGGCCTTCCGCTTTACCGAGCGGCGCATCAGGGAGCTCACTACTCGCACCAGCGCCTGGGAACGCAACAGCAGGGCGTGGTGTGGGTGATGGACGGCAGGGTGGGACGGGGCGGATTGGATATGGGGGAGCTCACGACCCGGACCAGCGGCTGCGGCCCGCGGGGTGGGGGCGTGGTTCGGTGTGGTGTGGGTGACGGCGGGGTGGGATGGGGCGGAATACACCAGTGGGTGGGCGGTTTGGGCGGCCGGTTTCTGAATCGTGCGCGCGCGTGTGTTGTGTGGGCGCATTCCTGAAATCCCATGTTTCGTGCTGTCGCGCCAAGGCTCGCGCAGAGGGTGGCGTTTTCACGCGTGCGTGCGGGCGCTTCGGCGCGCTGCTTGCCACACACCAGGCGCCCCAATGCCTTGCACTGAACGGCAGCGAGGGCGCTCGCAGGCGCGGCCCACGCACCTTGGGGATGGGCAGCCCCGTGTCTTTGACGATCTCGCTCATCAGATCGGTCAAACGGCTGAAGGGGCTGTCTAAGACCATGCCTGCCGCGCAGGCAGAAGCGCCCCCGCGCCAAGAGCCAGACATCGCGAGGGAAGGCGCGAAGCGTTTGGACGTATGCAGGGGCCTGATGCGTCGCCCGGGTTTCACACGCGCGAGCAGCCCCTGCACTCGCGGCGTCCCCGCTTCCGCCGCTGCCTCCCTTCCTCGGCCTCGCCGCCCAGGCACCTGCCGCGCAGCTGCTCGAGCCCCACCTGATATCGCCGCGTCCTTGCTGGCGTACAGCAGAGCTGTGACGGCCCCCATGGACCGCCCCCACAGGCCGACTGCTGATATGTCATCCCTCTCCCTGAGCCATTCGACCACGACTGCCGCCAGCACGGAAAAGAAACCCGGGACCGCAGATGCAGTCACCAGGGCGGTTGTGTGGTTGTGTGGGTCGAATTTGCCTTCAGGAGCATGACGCACGAGGGTATCACTGACAATTGCGAGCAGGGATCAGGGTGCCTAATTCGAGCATCGCGCGGCCAGACTAAATGCGCGGGTGCCGCCGCTGCGGCGCCGCCGGCCGCCGGACTGCCTGATTGCCTGGCCCGCGCCCCCGAGCCTGCCGCGCTGCCCCGCTGCCGGGCCGCCCATACATCCTGTGCGCCGGCCCCTAGATCGCGCCTCACCACCCAGGTCTTCCGCCTCTGTGTACCCCAGCGTCACCCACTGCCCGTCCGACAGCCCAGACCCCTGCGCAGCCGCGGCGGCGGGGGACGACACATGATAAGGTCAATAGGTCAACCCATGCAGCCGCAGCACGGTCTGGCGCCGCGGCGCGACCCCTCGGCCTTTCGAAAGCGGCGCCGCCGCGCGCAGGCGCGCGCGAAGCTTCCAAGCCATTCGCGAGCGCGAGCGGCGGCGCCGGGCCCGGGCGGGGGCGGCGGCAGGGGAGGGGGCGGCGGACCCAGCAGCAGGACGGAAGTAACAGGGGGATGAAACCAACCCGAAGGTGAGCCTCGATAAGAGGCCCAGCATGCAGGGACCTGTGAGCACTCACCATGAAGTCAAACGCAACCACCCCGATGCCCATCGGCAGCAGGTGCCCGACAGCTTCCTCCGCGTCCCTCCGGCTGCCGCTGTTGCAGTGGCAGTACACCACGACCGGCAGCTTGCCGTCGCGCCCCTTCAGGGGGCCGTGCTGCGTGGCCACGGGGGCGTAGTGGCTGCACTGCAGCTTGGCGCCGCGCTTGTTCGTCTGCAGCGTGGGGTTGCGGGTCACGGGGGTCGATGGACTTTGGTCGGCGCGGCGGGCGCGTCGGCAGCTGCCGCGCACGCACCGTGCTTGCGCCGGCCTGCAGGCAGCGGCGATGACACATGGCCCATAAAAATCGATCAATTGCCGCTGATATCCACTTACATGACCTCCCAATCTCGCCCCCCTCGACCAAAGGAATACCCACCAACTCGAAATCTGAGCGCTGCACTAGCACCGGCCCAATCGGGAACTTGCTGCCCGCAGGGCTTCCCAGAAGCTGCTCCGGCGAGTACGTGTCACGCGGGGGCCTGCATATGCAGTCCACCATCTGGTCCCAGAAGTCCATGCCTGCTGAGCTGGCCGCGGCGCCCGCCGCCGGCGCAGCAGCAGCGGGCGACGCGCGAGTTCAGGCGGGGCGCCCCGCCTGGCGACGCTGCAGCGCCTAGCAGGCGGGTTGGAAGGGCTGACGGACACACGCAATTTATTACAACTGGTCGGAGGGCCTGGACGCGCGTTTGGCGATTGAAGAGCAGTTGCGCACTGGCTGAAAAGGCGATCCAAAAAACCGATGCGTGACTGCATTCACGTACCCATTGTGTTATAAGGACCGTTGCACCTGGTTCACGAGATCCTAAAGCAGCTGACGCGCTTCTTCTTCGCACCGCGACCGAGTGTTTTTTCCCTGAACACTCGGCCCTTTGCAGTTTTCATGACACTCACACGCAATTGCTACCAAAAACTCCTGCCCCACGGCCAGGGCGGGGCACTGATGACAGGGTGGTCCTAGCAACCTTGGAGTGCCTTTCCGCTCGCACGCCGCACCACGAGCAAGTGCATGCCCGTCAACGCCCCGGCAGTACACAGGGATATCAACGGGTGCGACAGGCATCACATGGCAGACGGCGAGAAGCGCCCGCGTGCCACTTCACGTTTCAGCTCCTCCATGGCCGACGCACCCGGCGCGCGGCATGCGGCCGGCCAGCTCGGCGGGGCTGCAGGCGCTCGCCCCGCCCGGCGCCCCGCAACCCGGTGCACCCAGGTCCCCCCCGCGCCACCCGGTCCCCGTCGCGCGCCAAATTTCGAATTTCCACCCAGCGCCGAGGTGCGCGCAGCCGCGCAGGGCCCCATCCAACCTGCTTTTGGCCACCACGACAGAGCGCACCCGACGGTGCGGCGATACGCAACAGCCAGGGTAGCGTCGAAATTTTCGTGGGTTGAAGAGCAAGCTTGCGGACGCTGTCGGGGCGCAGCACATCAGGGGGTGCAAAAGCACCAGGATACTCTGCAGGTACTTGCCGGTCCCCTGGCGCCCGGCCACCAGCCGCTGAAAACTTGCGTCCCAACAAAGGCGAGCGGCTCGGCCTGTAAGCAGGCGCGGGCAGAGGGGTCCCGCGCCAAGGCCGGCGGATGCTTCGACGCCGGCGCCGCTGATTGGCGGGAGGCTCCCGGGAAACCCCTGGCGAAAAGCGCAGCGCGGGCGAGCTGGAGCGGGGGGGCCCACGCTGCCTCGCGCTATAGGCCGCGCCGCGCGACTGCCAGGCCGGGCGCAAGGACAAGGCGCTGGTTGAGCACCGGTGAAATGTGGCGTCCGCGTCGGCTGCGTCAGAGTTACACTGTGCGAGCCACAAGGCGAAAAAAAATGTGAGCCGCTATGCAGCTGCCAAATCATGCACTCATCAACGGATACTCTGGGAGCCACCTGCTGCGCCCCTGCTTGCGCTCCTGCGCTGCAAGTGCTGCTGCGCCCGCTGCTCCTGCTCCTGCGCCGCTTCGCACGCTGCTGCGCCGCCAATTTTGCTGCGACGCCGCGCCGCTGCAGTGGCTGCGACGCGGCACGTGCAGTAGCCGCGCCGTCACCCGCCCTCGCGCCCCCGCGCCGCCACCAGCGGGTGCCCCCGCAGTGCCTCCCACAACAGCTGCTGCGCCGCGCCGCCGTCGCCCTCCGCGCCGGCCCCGTCCCCGCCGGTCCCCGCCCCCGCGCCGGCCGCCGCCGCGCCGCCCCCCGCGTTCGGATCCCACAGCAGCAAATGCACCCGCCGCAGCCCGTCCGCGTCTCCGCCGCCGCCGCTGCCATCGTCCGAGCCCGACCGTGGCTTCAACGCCCTCAGCACCTCTTCCTGCGCCGACCACACCCACCCGCCGCCGCCGGCGCCGCCGCCGGCACCGCCATCTGCCGCCCGCCCCTCCCGCTTCCGCACGGCAAGATCCTCCAAAGCGTCCCGCACCCAGGACATCCAATCCACCGCGCCCAGAGCTCGCATGGCGCAGTACGCCTCCTCAAACGGCAGCAGCTGCACGACGCGGTACACCTGCCGCCGCGGCCGCGGCGGCGGCCCCCACTGCTGCTGCTGCTGCTGCTGCTGCTGCTGCGTGTCCAGGGCGCCGCCGGGTCTGGCGGCGGCGAACGTCTCCAAGATGAGGACGTGCCTGACCGGCCGCCGCGCGTCCAGAAACAGCGGCAGCCCCCAGAGAGTGCGCGCTGCGCCGCCGCCACCGCCGCCGCCGCCGCCGCCGCGGTCGGGGCCGAGGCACGGCAGCGCGAGCGCGGGCGCGCGCGCGGCGCGGCGCAGAGATACGTCGAGGGCGCCGCGCAGCACCGCCTCAGATAGACCGTCCGCGCCCCCGCCGCCGCCGCCGCCGCCGCCGCCGCCGCCGCCGCGGAGGAGCGCGTCCCAATCCGCGCTCACAGGCGACGCCGCGTCGAGCCCCGCCGTCGCGAACGCGGGCGGCAGCGGCGGCGGGGGCAGGTCCCTTTCGTCCGCGATCAGCGCCAGCTCAGCGCCGCTGCGGGCGCTATGGAATGCCCACGGCCGCGCCGCCGCCGCCGCAACTGCGCCCGCCGCCGCGCCGCCGTTCGGCTGCTGATGTCCGCCGTGGGCGTCCTCGGCCGGCGAGAACAGCAGGAACACGTCGTGCAGGCCGCGCGTGAACAGCCCCGTGTTGAAAACGAGGAACCGCGCCGCCGCGCCCTCCCCGTCGGCGCCAGCGGCCGCGTCGAGGGGCGCGACAGCTAGCAGCCGCTGCTCGTTGGCGCGGTCAAACGCGTGCGCCAGGAATGACTCTAGCCCGGCCAGCCCCTCCCCCCACCAGTCCGGCGCCGCGACCGCGGCGGCCTCGAGCGCCGCGCGCCCCGCGGCGGCGGCCCCGCCGCAGCAGCGCGCGAGCAGTGGCGCGGGGGCCGCGGCACCCTCGGGCGCGGCTGGGAGCCAGAGTTGCGCGTCCAACTGCCGCCACTCGCCGCCGCCGCTGGGCGCACCCCCCTCCAGTCGCAGCCCGAGCCGCGGCCCGAGCGGCGCGGCCGCCGCGGCGCCGCCCGACGCAGCCGCGAGCGCGCCCCAGCGCGCCGCGGCGCCCGCAGCAGCCGCGCCGGGCTCTTCCCATGTCACCAGAACCTCCCCTCCCGCCTCGTCCAGCTGCCCCTGAAGAACGCCCGCCGGCCCCTCCGCGCCGCCACCAGCAGCGGCAATGAGGCCGCGCGCCCACGCCGCCAGCGCGCGCGCCAGGTCGCCGCAGGGCGTGCCCGCCGCGACGGCGACGCGCAGCGGCGCCGCCCCCGCCAACGCCGCCAGCTGCGGGTCGCCGAGCCGCACGGTCAGCACGACCCGCGGGCCCGGGCAGCTTCCCGACAGGTCCTGCGTTGCCGGCCCAGCCGCAATCGGGAGCGTCGGCAGGTCCAGCGCCACGCGCGCCGCCGGCGCGACGAGCGGCGCCGCCCCCAGCGGCGCGAGCGGCTGCAGCAGCTGCTGCTGCTGCCGCTGCGG